TTAAGCAAAAAGTCACAAAACTGTGTTGAAAAAAATAAAACCCCAAAAGGTCACAACATTGGCACTCATGAAAACCTGGAAAGTGACAATATCAATATCGAAGCAAGTGACACCCCCAAGTTGATAATAATGAAACATGTAAAACCCTCAAAGGTGACAGCCCCCTCCCCCCCCCTTGGGAGGGCCCAGGCCTTATTCTTAATTTCAGGCCATATTTTGAAGAAAATGGGCCTCAAAATTTCAAAATTTGGGCCCACTATTGGGTTTTAGGGGCCCAACATTTTTTTCCGAGCAAGCGCGGACGTTTTTTTCTCTGACCTGAAATTTGCCCCCCCCCCCCTTGTTGGTTCCCAGATCCGCCCCTGACTCACACAAGTGAATCCCCGAAAGGTGACGATATTGAGACAAGCAAAACAATCTGATAATCCTGATACTCAGGAACCCAACAAAAGTAAAAACATTAAACCATAAAAAAAAGGAAAAAGTGAGACTATCAGTGATGTAAAAGAAAAATTTAAGAGACACATTGACAGTGCATGGGCTAAAGGAAGACCTTGGCTATCTATTAATCATCAAAAGGAAACCATGACCTGTCCATTTTGTATGAAATGGAAAATAGAAATAAAACATCTTTTAAAGAGCAAAATATTTCTTGAGGGCTGTTCATAAAAAAATGGAATCAGTAACTTCATATGAAAAAAGCAAAGCGCATATGCATGCTAAACTCTGCGAAAAGAATTGAGTTCTTGATCCTGGAAATGCTCCCATTAATAAAATAAAAGATTCTTTGAAATCTATTCACAAGAACAACCTAGAATATCTAATTGTACTGTTTTGGAATGTACATGCTCTCGTCAAACATGGAAAATCCTTTAGAGACTTCAAATGGTTATGTAATTTGGACAAAGTCAAGGAGATAAAGCAGGACATAAGCTATGAAGGACAACATAAATATGCAAAAGAAATGACTGACTTTATAGCATCACAAGAAAATTTGAAACTTTTTGATGAAATTAAAGGTGTCAAGTATATATCTATGATTGTTGATGGGGCCACAGACAGCAGCATTACTGAGCAGGGAATAATCTTCATAAAGGAAATAATTAAATATGTTTATGTATTTACCTTTATCAAGAGTGTACATGTATCCATTCATGTGGAATTTTTATTTAATTTTGAATCATTATAATTGCTTGACTTTACCTTCTTCTAAGACCTCCACTAGTATGGTACATGGTATTAGCAAGAGATTTGACTGAGCTTAGCTTAGTTTTGAAGTAGTTTAAGAAGCGGAAATGGGGCTGCTTGGGAGCTCAATTGTGGTGAGAAAGTAAGCAAGAAGTGATTTGTCACATCAACGAGATAGTATTGTAGTCCAAAAAAGCAAGAACAGAAACTAGCACATTACCAGGTGTGATAAGCGTAACTGTGGGCACTTTGCATCATGCAGAGGATGTTGGACTTTGTGAGACAAAGTAGTGGTGTAAGTTACTTTTCACCAAAAAAAGGGTTTATAGAACTTACAGGACAGGCATTCAGGTGGGAATAGACAGGGAACCTATAGTACATACATGGCTAATTTTGTGGCTATCATGTGGAGTACTAATATCAACAAGAATAGCGAAGTCAAGAAAGGCTAATCAGATAAGTATTCACTCATCCTGGGGACATTTTGGGGAGGCGGACTGTCCACACCGGGTAAGTAATGCATACATAGCAGTATGATAGGTGTAGGTGAGTGAGTTTGCCTTCATCTGGAAGTTAAATAATTTCCTACTTTTTTGCTTAGTTTGTCTAGTATTAGATTACCCTTTACTGCATATGAGCAGTTATAAGACAATGTTTGGAAAACATAAAATAAGTAACGAGAACCAATGTCACTGGTGGATCTGGGGGAGGTCCAAGCCCCCCCCCCCCCCTTGGTGGGCCCAGAAATAAAATTGGGCCCAAAAAACATTTTGGGCCAAAAAAGCCCTTAAGGTAGCGCTAAAGTTAATCAAAAGTACAAAAAATGGCAGCAACATTTATTTGATAAAGTCACAAGATTCTGTGTATCTGTTTTCCTTATATGTGAATGCATTTCCAGACTAAAGAGACATGTCAAAGAAAACTTCACATTTTAACGCATTTTTCATAACAATGAATATCCCAGATGCGAGTAGAAATAATCTTGATTTACATCATTAAAAATTCACAATTTAGTTAAACTGATGTCATATTTGAAATCTATGTGTAAATTACATCTAGAAATGTGATTTTGAAAAGAGTTTATCAACTTTGAAAATTTAATTTTCTTTGAAAATGTGACTTCTAGTTCGGGGAGATTCCCCATAGAGCCCATGTTGTAAAACCACAAAAAGTGAAATATCTTTTCTTGTGTTGAGTAGATAATATTTTCTTCTACTGGACATATTTTAATTTGTATAACTATTAGATACATAAAGGTAATATGAAAAGTGAACCATTAAAACTGATGCATATTCAAGTTTAAGGGAATTTTGTAATACCCTGCCATGTTAATTTCCCCGAATCAGCCACCTGGTGGTGAAACTGGTTACTACCTACTTGCATCTGAGTAATTGGAGGTGCATGGGTCCTCAAAGCTAGCATGAAGACCATAAAATGAGCCTAAATTTTGAAAGTTTCAAGGAGTAGGATTGCACAGGGACACATTTGCAAGAATCCAATATTTCCACAAATCATCTTACCTTACCAAGGAACATGGAAGGAGCATGAAAGTGTGCACTTGCTTTGTTAGAGTATGATAAAGCTAAAACCATAGTTTCTTATAAATATTTTATGTCCACCATTTTGTTTGCTGGAACTACTTCTAGACTTCCTGATTAATCCTCATTTAAGTTTTGTGACTTCACCAAGTGGCATGGATTATCTATAACAGTATAATTATCATGATAGATATATGATTGAGGCTTTATAAATGATAAACAATGGATACATTAGTGAGGATTACTTTGGACTAGAAAATAGTCCCAGCAAACAAAATGGTGGACATGAAATATTTAGAATTCACAATGGATTGAGCTTTATTATACTCCAAGAGTATAATAGTGCAAGAAGCACACATTTTAATGCTTCTTCGTTGTTCCTTGCTAAGGTAAGACGATTTGTGGAAATTTTGGAGTCTTACAAATGTGTCTCCATTGCAATCCTACTCCTTGAAATTTTAAAAAGTTATCCTCACTTCACTGTCTCCATGCTAGCTTTAGGTTACTTAGTTTACACAAAGCTATCTCCTCGATATTCCCAGCCCATGTTAAAGGTCTTTTTCAGAAATATTAGAAATCATGGGAACACTTACACTACTTCAATCGATGTATAACATCATAAAGTATCATTGTAATAATCGTAGAACGCTAACTGGAGTCGGGAGACAGTTTAATTGACGAAAAATGTATTTGGAACTTGTTATTTTCCATGTCGTCTGACCAGGAAGTCTTGCCAATGCGCATGCGTGTAACCGGAAGCGGAAATCTCATGGCATGGAAGCGCATGCGCATTACCTAACTTCCTGAGAAGCCATCTTGAAAATTATCATCTCTTCAACATTTTTCGCCAATTTCACTGTCTCCCAACTCCAGTTAGCGTTCTACCATTATTACAAAGATATTTTATGAAAGTAGTGTAAGTGTTCCCATGATTTCTAACATTTCTGAAAAAGACCTTTAACATGGGCTGGGATTACCGAGTTTTGCATAGCCATCTATCTAAAGATGGCTATGTGCAAATATAGAAAGCTTTAGGGACCCATGCACCTCCAATTCACAGTTATAAAAGATGCGTTTCAATGTTAAGTTTTCTTTGACACGTCTCTTTAGTCAGGAAATGCATTCACATATAAGGAAAACAGATAAACAAAACCTTGTGACTTTATCAAAAAAATATGGCTGCCATTTTTTGTACTTTTGATTAACTTTAACGCTACCTTAAGGACAGGGTGCATGTTGGGAAATATTCTGCATTCCTCAATTGATTCACATGTTATTTTTCAAACAAGAATAACTCCTTCCCCACATTGTCTACATCTTCCAAGTTTGCACAAAGAGTGCACTTATGTGCCTAGAAAAGCCTTGTGAGAAGGTTTGTTTTGTTAAATGTATAAAAATGAGAAAATTCAGTGAAAAAAAATTCTGAAAATTTTCTGATTTTTTTCACTGAATTTTCTTGTTTTTTATACACTTCATCAAAACATACTTCTCACAAGTCTTTTCTAGGCACATAAGTGCACTCTTTGTGCAAAACTGGAAGATATAGACAATGTGGGGAAGGAGTGATTCTTGTTTGAAAAATAACATGTGACTCAATTGAGGAATGCAGAAAATTCCCCATCATGCACCCTGACCTTAAGGTACAGCTGGAAAGTAACATTTTGGTAAAAAATTGCTATACCTGCACATGTTATTTTCTGGTACAAAATAAAGTATGAAGGCATGTGTCAATTTCCTTGCTTTTTTCAGGAAAGTATCATTACATTGTCTTCTTTTAGAATATCTGGTAGGGGTTCAATGGAAACTCCAGGAAATTCTGATATTTCACACTTTCTATTTTTCCAAATTTTCTTTCAAAGTTTCCAGACAACATAGGATCTACCATTGACCTGTTTCTAGATATTCTATAAGTAAACAGTGTAATGATACTTTCCTGAAAAAAGCAAGGAAATACACACACAACTTCATACTTAATTTTGTACCAGAAAATAACATGTGCAGGTATAGCAATTTTTTACCAAAATGTTACTTTCCAGCTGAACCTTAAGGCCCCAAAAAGTGGGCCTCTTTGGTCATAATGGGCCCAGATGGGTCAAAATTTCAAAATTACAGCCCACATTTTGGTTTAAAAGGCCCAAAAATTTTACTGGGCAAGCGCAGAAGTTTTTTGCATCCCCCTTGTTGGTTCCTAGATCCGCCCCTCATTGAAGAAATCCATAAGTACCTCCCCAAAATGAATATAAAATGAAGAAATGAATAATTTGCAATACTTACTTAAATGAAGCCGCCAGACCTATGGATTGTGGGAACGATGTACCATTCAGATCAACGTCACCTCGTATACATTCTGTATCCCACTGATACGGCTTGATGCCGAGACGAGAAATTCCGGGTGCAGGTGCGGGCGTCGAGCCTCCATACGCCATCTGATCTTGCATTTCTTGCAACGTCAAACGATCCAAAATGTCATTTACACGTTCATCCCATGAAAGGGTTATATCTTCAAATGGAAACTTACTAAAGACAGAGCCAAATACTAACAAAATCACTGTAATTATTTTTGCCGTCCGCGCCATTTTGGTTTATCACATGATCTTGTCATGCTCCCTTGTCACATGACCAAATTGATGGGAGCATAACCTAATAATATATTTTCTCCCGGGATTATATCTGTCTATTCTCCCGGGTTTCTTCCTCTGCTGTCACCTGCAGGGGCTCGTCGCAATATAGGCTAAACCTTACTCTACCGAGCTTTTGAGCCAGCTGTGTTCAGTAAGCTTTACCAGACCCACCGTCCCAATGAGTATGGGTATCATGAGAAAGCATGGTCTTGTATTAGTTCCTCTCTAGAGCTGTTTCACAGTCTAGAGTAATGTTTGCTCGGTATGCCTTACATTCATACATGTACAGTGTACATTGTACATGTAGGCCTAACGTCTCCAAAAATACTGAGCTTAGAGACGGACCCGGGAGACGGGATAGCCTATTTGAGCCCGGTGTAAAAGAAATTATGGTTTTGGTACTATAAGGAAGGCTTCTCCCTATGTAACTTTTGGAAAAAACTATAAGATAAAACTAAAAGATATTTGAATTTCCCGGCATTTTACATCAACTAAATCACGTTTTCTCTCCTCCATTAGAAATGATCGGTTTAAACTTTATACTTGGCCTTAAAGAAGAGGCTTACCAACAGCGAATCTTATGAATGTTACATAATGTGAGCGCACCCGGGGAGCGCACATAGTGCAACATTGAAATAAAATTTTAATAAAGGAGATTATATTTGCAGTTTTGAACCATCCCAAAAGATTTACGGTCTTGATTACAATATTCAGATAAACAATTTGGAGTTTCCAAACTAAACATTAGGGAACATGGGGCAAAACGGCCCTAAAAATTAAATTTTAAGTTGTTCCGGACGGAGTATTTTCTTATCTGTCAATCATCGCGCACTTTGATGTTCCACTTTATTAATGGGTTGTGGTTTACATTTTTCGAGTCTTTTATATACTCCTCAAAAAAAGTTAAAGACCTCATAGGTTTACATGTTAACCCCGATATTTGTTTAACGACTGTTTTCTAAGCGGGGAACAAAAGAAATCCCAATAAAGAAAATAAATCTGTATCTTGATTCTATTCCCTATAAAGTCCGCAACGTTTCCATGTTATATCTCCATTACATTGGGTCAAAATTTGATGTCAAAATTGATGAATTTCATGAAATGTAACAAAAATGGCAGATCCCATGTTAAACAAATGGGGAATGGTGGCTTTGGGGCAACTCAGATTTTGGAATATCTATTCAGCAAAACATTTATTAAAAATACTTTCTAAGTGGAAAATTGAATGATTTTACATTTTACATGCTAAATGTCTCGCTTATGTTGTTAAAATTAGCGATACGGAGCGTTAAAGTAATTTTGACCACCTCACTGAACCACCTGTGTTATTTCAATAAGAGGTTCATTAAAAAATTATTGAATTTGAAACCATTAACTTTTGTAAAGCCTGGACAATTAAATCATATTTTTGTCGAGTAGACAATTTTGCAAATTTAATTATCTCTTACAATCTCAATTTTGAGAGCAATCGGATGGATGGATCGTTCCTCATATGACTTATGGCAACCCAACCATTCCCAATTTGTTTAACATGGGATCTGCCATTTTTGTTAAATTTCATGAAATTCATCAATTTTAACATCAAATTTTGACCCAATGTAATGGAGATATAAAATTGGAACGTTGAGGACTTTATAGTGAATAGAATCAAGATACAGATTTATTTTCTTTATTGGGAATTCTTTTGTTCCCCGCTTAGAAAACAGTCGTTAAACAAATATGGGGGTTAACATGTAAACCTATGAGGTCCTTAACCTTTTTTGAGGAGTATACTTGCCTAAGACTATCTTCTTTGATTTTTCAATGGTCAAAAATAATGTCGGGAGTGGGGCAAAACGATATTCTATTGTTGCCGGATTTTTTAGTGATTCTCGTGGGAGGGGTAATTTGCAAAAAAGAGAGTGAAAAGTAGAATTACCTCTTACGTAAGGCGAGGCGCTGCTAGTTTAAAAAAAGGCGGTCGAGAAGGTGGCGGAAATGTCAAATTTCGATTGTGTGACTGTTGAAGAACCAACTTTTTATAGTTCAAAAGATATTTCAATGCCTATGGTAGCCTCATACAATGAATGGCGCATTCCTAGATCCGAGGAGCTATGTATCCCGGAATACTAATCTTTGAATTGATTGAAGCCATTGGGCTTCATCTGAAAATAACTCACTTTAAAGGATCGTGTTTATAATACACTACAACTATTAGGACACGGAAGCGGCAAGTATTTAATTATAATGTGCATAATCTACACGTGCAGATGACAACTGCATTCACAGTCTCTAGTTGATGGAGTTTTTCTATATCGGGAATAGTTATTTTCCATTAAATACAGTTTAAAATAGATTTTAGTAAATATAATAATTCGACATGACCCTTTAAAGTATACGTATACGTATGAGTTGTACTTTCACTTATGTGCGAAATCTCTCTAATATTGAAATTCGCTTAAAATTACATAGCATCTCTGAGCAGGGAAACTAGACACTTTAATTAAGAATGAGGATTGTTCCAATTCATGTCTCACGAGGAATAAGAAATAAAACTTGTTTCAACATAAAATTATAAGTGAGAGATTTAGACTGAAGGATACGAATAAGTAAAGTTACTAGTAAGGGATATGAATCAGTAGTACGGTTACTAGTAATATAGTTACTAGAGTAAGGGATACGAATTACTGAAGTTACACGTAAGGGATGAATTAGTAAACTTACTAGTAAGGGATATGAATTAGTAAAGTTACTAGTAAGGGATACGAATGAGAAAAATTAGTCGTAAAGGATATGAATTAGTAAAGTTACTAGTAATGGATATGAATTAGTAAAGTTACTAGTAAGGGATACGAATGAGTAGAGTTAGTCGTAAAGGATACGAATTAGTAAAGTTACTAGTAATGGATATATGGATATGAATTAGGAAAGTTACTAGTAAGGGATACGAATTAGTAAAGTTAGTAGTAAATGATACGAATTAGTAAAGTTACTAGTAAGGGATACGAATTTGTAAAGTTAGTAGTAAAGGATACGAATTAGTAAAGTTACTAGTAAGGGATACGAATGAGTAAAGTTACTAGTAAGGGATACGAATTAGTAAAGTTAGTAGTAAATGATACGAATTAGTAAAGTTACTCGTAAGGGATACGAATTAGTAAAGTTACTAGTAAGGGATACGAATTCGTAAAGTTACTAGTAAAGGATACGAATTAGCAGTTGTTTTAAAACACGATTAGTCAGGGCGATGCCCCGGCGCACATCTAATTAGTATAGTTACTAGAAAGGGATACAAATAAGTGGCTGTTTCAGCACATAATTAGTGAGGGATAATTAAGAATTAGGGGTTGTCCCTGGTGAGGGATAATAGGGATTGTTTCAACACATATTTATTACTAAGGGATACCTGAAGGGATGCGAATTAAAGCTTGTTTCAACACGAGATTAAGAAGGAGATGCTTATTAGAAGTTCTTCAGAGTCTTGATCCAATATGATGAGAGGTAAAAAGCTAAATGATTAGGTGATCGATTGACCGCCTGGGGGATTCCGAAGCGTAATCTGCCACAATCTAATAGCTACCTTTGTCTCGCGAGGGACTGACGTATAAGAGACATTATATTACAATACTGCTTATTGCAATCACTGTTGCTTGATAGAGGAGGACTGAAATACCAAAGAAGATCTGGTTCGACATACCTGTTACCTGTTACCTGTGGCTAACCTGCCGGGCATACAGTAGAGGCCAGGCACATCCTGCATGGTACATACGCTAAAGGTAAGTCATCTCCAATGCATATAAGGATTATGTTATTAAAAAAAAAAGATACAACTCGTAAAATATATGATAACATTAATACAAATGGCTATATTGGTTAACAATATTATCAAATAACTAGAATTGATTAGAATCGATTTCTGTTAGTAGTTTATGCAATCTATCAAAATATAACGAATCATGCAGCTTTAATGTAAGTTGTTCTTCGAGTAAATGTCACGTAAATAAGTATCTCCTTTTTCATAAAGGGCAATAAAGATATTCATACATACATACACAGGCCCATAGCCAAGGGGAGCTGGGTGAGCGGAAGCTCCCCCCTGGCCAGATCTTCTTTCAAAATCATGCAGTTTTTCACCATTTTGAGCATTTTTCGCATTGTTTTGTAGTTAAAACTGTCAAATATCTCCCTCCCCGGACCCCCCCCCCCCCCCCCTTGTAAAAACTGGATGCGGGCAATATACATTACGTTTTGAAACACACGTTACGTTTTGATAATTCTAATTATTATGTAATTTCTAATCTATATTATCTTACATCAATGAGTTTTGTATATTTAGACAGCAGATGACAAACAATTAAGTCATTCTGTTCATATTATTTTGTATAATTTAATTTGATATGAGATGTAACTCTCAATTTATGAGTCTGGAAAATGAGAAGTCTACATAGTGTCTCATTGGCCGTAGTTTTTTTTATAGCCATCTCTGAGAAATTGAACAGTGTCCCAATATACACACTATTCTTCACCATGGCAACTTACTCAGTTGGTATTTAAACAACCTATGCTCTGCAAATATGTGACAATATTGCAAATTTCTAAGAATCCTGTCATTTATCATCGACCTGCTACACCGTACACTGGGTAGACAGCAATATACACATTATCTTAATCATGTCGGTGTTCAGTATCCTTGTAGATTTTACCGGTTCTGGCCCTTCTTTGTTGCAATGGGTGTAAACATTGGGAAGAAAACAAAATAGCGACTCTAATCATCAATTAAAGTACGAGAAAATATTAAAAATGAGTCCAGATTAAATCAAAGATAACAATACTGTACAGGGCGTCCACAAAAAAGTATACCCAACTTCAAAGCCAGGATACAAGAATTCCGAGCAATTTTTAAAAAAATTCAAAGGTGCAGTTTGTAGCAGTATATGGCCTAGTTCGTCCTCCATCGAATGGTACCTAGATCATTATGTAACTAACTGTCATGGATGACTGAGCAATCATGATTTTTATGAAAGGTGGTAAATCAGCACTGTACCAAGTTAGCATTCAAGTAGGATTGACACAATGAATGATTTTTTGTGTTCAAAACATTATCAATGTTCAAATTCAAACTTGTTCCATGTTCAAGAGCCTCTTGAACAGCAATTAAACTTCTTCTTGATATGCAGCTTTGAAGTCAATTGTATTCCCCATTTAAGCCAATATACCCTTGCTGAAATCCTCATTTTCTCAGACGAACTCAAGTTGATTGAGTCTCAACAAATAGATTCATGTGGGACAGTATTGCTAGAATCCATTTAAAAAGCAAGAATAGGGGTTCTTGAACAGTACACTGTACTTGACTTTTTAGAACTTTTTGTTGGCTCTACTGCTCAGGTGTCAGTTGAACCATGTTTGAAGGGCAGTTTTAGAGTAAGTTAAGCTTGTTGCCAAACATTTTTTTTATAAGAGAGTAACCCAGCCTCCAGTCCAGTTCATTATGAAAGTTCTGTCCTCTAACATAATATAACAGAAAAAGAATACTAATTCTAATAATTCCTACTCACCATGGAATAGCCTGACAACGGTAAAATCAAATACCGTTGTCACAAATGGCGGACATAACCGTCGCTCAATTAGATTTTCATGTACTGTATGTTTGATAGAGCACCTAGACTAAATTCCTTTGGAACAACAATCGATCAAATACTCATTGTACAGTTAATAATGTTCTACCATCGAAATAAAGTCTTTGATTTAACCAATCAAAATGAGATACGGAACAACGGACACTGTAATTACCATATGCCGTCGTCTTTCTAGACTACTCAAATTCAGATTCCGTTGTCATTGACGATATGGAAGACGCTATATGGTGGCGATTCACGACCCAATTAGATCGAATTTGGGATTTCATATGATACATTATCACAAGAGCCTTGCCTTAATACATGCACAGAATTAACGACGATAAAATCCCATGAAATGAGGACCAAGTGATTAAACAGTTGAAGCGACGGTATATATCCGCCATTTGTGACAACGGTATCTAACTTTACCGTTGTCAGGCTATTCCGGTGTGCTACTAATACCAATTACACATCGATTTCCACACAGGAAGAAAACTTAGCACAGCGCTAATTTTACCACCTATCAGAATGGTCATGATTGCTTAGTCATACATGTCAGTTACATAATGATCTAGGTACCATTTAATGGAGGACAAATACATTTTTTGCAGTTACCTTTGTATTAAAAAAATGCTCAGGATTTTAGTAACTTGGTTTTGAAGTTGGGTATACATTTTTGTGGACGCCCTGTAGAGTATAGCAACTTCTCAAGTACTTATAGAGTATACACTTTTTCAATCCATGGCATTTGTAGAGGGTAAATAAATGCCTAAGTTCAAATCGATGCTCCGATGGGGGCGAGGCAAGCACAGAGAGTACATATTCTACAATCATTTATCTTTGTATAAATTCCTCCGTTTTATTCTATCTGTAAATATTAGTGCTTCTAGTTTTATTGATGTGACGTGAATGATAACCATGTAAATTGACATGAAATATGACAAAGACCGTTATTGCATAACACGAATATTTTTATTGTGCCCAAATTTTTGTCAAAAGTGTATAATATACATTTACTTATAAATTATATCACATGTTTAATATACATTAACCAGACTATGTAAACTATAAACGGAAATATTCTGAAAGTGTCAGAACTTTGAATTTAACACTCAGTTTAGATGCCATGCTGCAATTAGAATACCATGCACCCGTTTTGTCACACCTGTTACAAAATTAAGGGAAACGTATTTCATGGCTTCAGAGTAATAATTTGGTTACGATAAAGGACAGGCCCGTGGCCAGCTTTTGCGAATGGGGTTTACTTTTGACAATTTTGGCTCAAAAGGGATAAAATCACTTGAAAATGTTCAAAATTTTGAAAAACTGCATGATTTTGAAATTACTTTTGGCCAGGGGAGGGGGAGGGCTACGGGCTTGAAGGAACAGCATAAAATCATGGGCTTTCAACAGACTTGAGAGCCCATGATAAAATCAAATAAGAATAAAATATTGAGTAAAATGCCGTGGTCGGGAATAGTACGTCTACCTCATACTGAGGACTGAAAATCCATTGTGGATAGTATATATTTTCACTGCACTTTCTGTTGAATAATGTATAAATTAACACTATCTAGCTAGCTGGGGGGTAGGTAGACTATATCCGCTTTTGATCAATGTGGTAAGAGGAAACTAAGGAAAGACAGGTAAGAATCAAATCTGTGTAAACATGATGTGATCAATTTTACTTCATCATCCAGTAACGTTGACTGAGGGCGAGTTATTTGATATTAAAACTACTAATCATTTCCAGAAAAATACATTTCGGGCCTGAACATTGAAGGGGTATATTTGGCCTATATAAAAATGTCTGGAAGCTCTTGAATACCGATACATGCTTGGGTAAACAAATCTAATATTGCGGATGTGGTCACTTTTTACACTGCGCACAGAGTCTAGTTATAAACTGAAGACGAAGCCCTCTTTTAAGAAGTGAAGTCGAACGAAAGCAAAGGCCTAGGGTAGTCACTTTTCAGATGTTGCAATAAATGTTGAAAAATCTTACCCCTGCACGTCGAACCATAGTTTGTTCTGTTTTTCTTTTATAAAGGTTGCTGTAGTAGCTCGTGTGACGAATGTATGTTGAGATAAAAAATACATTTTTTGGGTTAAAATATAGAAATTAAGATCACAGTAACTTATAGAAACGTTTATCAAATTAGTCTGATTAGCATACATTGGTTACTGTTTGGATAACTATATTAACTACACTAACGCAACACCTGATCTAATAGAGACATCGATGTATCACGATACCCATATGCATTTTTAAATGAAACAAATGATTAGTTTCATCTGATCAAGCTTTTCATATTAAATCGTAAAAATATCAGTCTGATTAGAGGGTTTGTTATGGGGAATAAGAACCTTATTTAATTATCCGTTGCTTACATTGAAATATCAGTGTCACCGTAACATTTTTCCTCTTTAATTAATTTATTTGTTTATTTTGATCTTATTATAGTAGCAAAGGTTAAAGCACAATTACATAATAAAGCTTTGTTACACGATTAAAGTCACCCCATGCTATTATACACTTTCGTAAAAAGTATAAATCAGAGATTTAACATCCTTACTGCAAGGATATAATACTTAACAAGTATATATGTGCTACCTCTAAACAAGCGGCGCGGATTAAAAATTCACACAGAAAGCTTATGACTTTCAAAATGCAAAAATAAGTCATACCGATTGGTCATCTCGATCGCCTACTAAATGAAGGCTGTAAACTGTGTAATAAAGCAGCGATTTCAAATTCTTTGGTTTGGAGCAAGGATGAATGCTTAGTGCGTCTTTAAAGTATGAAGAATACAACTATAGACAACATTTCCCTTTTATTAGATATCCTCTACAAATGGATGATTATAATTTACCAACATGCCTTGGTTTATGAAATATCACTAATTCAAATTCAAAAGTGAACGTTAATATCCGCACCTTGCGCACACGATATCCGCACAGCTTGTTTTCGTAGCACAGTCTGTATAGGGTGAATAATGCTGTTTAATTTGACTAGAACGACTTTTTGCTGAAGTGTTTTTGCAAAATGTTGATCATCACGTCAGTCATTAACTAATAAAGGCCAATAGATAATAGTTCATCAATACACGAAGCGTGGTTTGTGCTGAAATTAAAGAAATCTGGCCTCAAGAATTTAA